TTTGCAAAATGTCCAGTTTGGTTTGCAAAATGTCCACTTTAGTTTGCAAAATGTCCAGTTTGGTTTGCAAAATGTCCAGTTTGGTTTGAAAAATGTCCAGTTTGGTTTGCAAAATGTCCAGTTTGGTTTGAAAAATGTCCAGTTTAAAGTGAAAATGGTATATATCATTGGCGGCATCAGGATTCGGACGACGCACACCCCATGGACGATTGTCGCTTCCGCACTTGCCGTTTCTCGTCTGCATGCACGAGGGCTTCCTGTTGCACCTCGGCAACTGCCTTCGTGATCAGATCAAGCCATGCACGCCGATCAACTGCTTTCGATTCCCAACATTAGAACGCGATAGGCTCAATTTGACCATGTCCTGGCAACGTAATTTGGGTTTTACCACGTGCCGATTCCCAATACTCAGCTGACCATATAAGAGTTGTTTCGGTATCCGCGTCGAATCCGTACGCCACCTCAAGTGTCTCAGCAAAAGTATGCAGTCCACTGCATACATCCCATTTTGTCGCAACACTTCCGTGTCTGCAACTCTGTCGCACCAACCGATGCGCAGAATCCGTCGCAAGCACTGTTGAGGGAACCGCTTCAGATACCGTACATCCCGCCGGTACATCGTCCACGTCTCACTGCCGTATAGAAGAACGGACAGCACCATGGATTTATAGACCATCAATTGCGTGCCGACGGTAAGCTGGTGGTTGCTCCACACTCGGTACCCAAGCTTTCCGAATGCTGCCGCTGCCTTCGACGCGCGAATACGCAGCCCACTGTGTATCTGCTGATCAGTCAACATCACACTCTCAAGTAGCAGAAGCGGGAGGTGGTTTCCAATACTTCAGCACCAATGCTGATTTGCAGCAATATTACAGATTGCACTCCCGGTGAAGGCTGAAAGAGATAGACAGTTTTGTTTGTGTTGATGATGAGCCCGAATTTGGCCGCTGTCGTAGTCAGAGCACTAGTCATGTGCTGCAACTCATCCGCGCTGTTTACAAACAACGCACAGTCGTCTGCAAACAACAGCATACGGATAGTTGTCTCACAGACTAGGGTTCTCGCAGCGAAACGACGGATGTTCAGCAACATACCCACCATCAATACGGTGCTCCACCCGAACATCGTAAGTACAAGCCGCATCAAAAGCACAAGATATCATGGCATGAAGATAAATATTAAACAGGACAGGAGCTAAAAGACAGCCTTGCTTCACACTAGAGGCATCTGCAAAGTTAGCCGAGGTCTCACCACTCAGCTGCACCGTCGCCTGCATACCACTGTGCAGACATTCAATTAAAGTTACAAACTTACGCGGGCAACCAAACTTACTCAATGCCTCGCGGTTCACCGTACCAAATGCTTTGTTGAAACCAACAAACAGCGAGTACAACGGCTGGTGTCGTTCTCTGCACTTCTCCTGCAACTGATGAGCCACAAACACCATATCTATGGTGCTGCGACCCATACGGACTCCACAGTGCTCTTCCGCCACGTTCGGTTTCACAATCTGACTGCACACGGTTTGTGTGTGGAGCAGACTACGGTCCAGCCAGCGCCTTGTGTGCGGTTGATTCCCAAATATAGCGTACTTATGTTTGCTTGTGAAGGGTGCCGACATCCATATGGTTGGCGGTAGCTGGTTCCAGGTTTGGCTTTCATTGCGGCCCCCTTAGAGAAGAGCCACGAGACGACTGCGCCACCCACACATCCCATATCCAGTGCAGACCCGAAGGAATAGGACCAGGAGACATATGAATGAGAGCGAGATTTCATAAACGGACCCGGGCTGCACTTTCAACAAACAAAGTAGAAGCATTCATTCCTACTAAGTGAATAATACGTAACAGACTACACATGGCGATGGCTGGGTCTTAACCCGCCCCACGCTTGGTACGTGGAACCGCTCTTCGAGCCTAGCACGGTCACGATGACCTTGCACCCGAACCCACAGCAACCATTGGCAGTCTCCTGGAACCAGTAATCGAAGTGGAGGGTGTTAGACAGATAAGCATCTTGTCAACATTCACATGGAACGCAGCCACACCAAGGTTATCGACCATCAGCCAACACCTGAAATGCAAGAAACCCAACACGCATGCACACGTACAGACCAGTTGTAGCGATGATGCGGCGCACGTATCACATCGACCGCAATATTGGTCTTGATTAGTAAACGGAATTGTATCGGGAGCAGTGCGATTACCAAGCGCTGCGCTGATGATGATTACTAATTGACATACTGGTCTTTTAGATCTTGGTCACGCTGGTAACTTACGAGGCCGGCTTTGCTGAGGCACTCGCGGCTGCATGTGCTACAGCACCATGCGCTTGACGACGATGGGCTATCCACTATTGGCGCCTGTCAATTTGCCAACCGAATTTTCGCTTCCGCATGCAATAGTGCTTTCTCCTGCACCTAAGCAACCGCCCTACTGATAAGCTCACATCATTGTCGCAGATTAACTCCTCTGATTCACAACACCTTTAATCAACATTATTTCGTGATAAACGCCTTGATAATGTTCTGATAACATAACATTGTTCTTCCACGTGCCGCTTCCCTGCACTAAGTTGTCCATACCGCAGCTGCTCGGGTATCCGCGTCGAATCCATGCGGCTAATATACCCGATCCACTTCAAGTGCCTCAGCGGAAGTATGCAGTCCACTGCATACATGCTACTGCGGCGCAGAACTTAGTGTCAGCAGCTCGGTCACCCCAGCTGACGCGCAGGTACTGTTGTTGTAGTCGCTCCAAATACAAACGTCCTTTTAACAAAGCATCCAGGTTTCACTGTCTTAATGAAGACCGGTATACATGCAACTTTGTCTCAATGGTCAGCTGATGGATGTTCCACACCTGAATCTTCAGCTTTCCAAATGCGGCAGCCGCCCTCGACACACGCATGCGCAGGTCGATAGGCATTACACTCCTAAGGGACGTTTCCAAAACGTCATCACCGGTGTGGATTTGCGGTAAGCATACGGATTCCATTTCTGGTGTAGGTTGAAATGGGCAGTCTTACTTGTGCTGATCGTCGAAGCAGGAGCCGTCGTCATGCGCCGCTGCAACTCATCCGCACTGTGTGCAAACAACGCACAGTCGTCAGCCACATAGGGATAGTTGCCTCACCCACTGGGATTCTCGCCCAGAGATGACGGGTGTTCAGCAACCTACCATCAATACGGTGCTCCATACGAACACCGTAAGTACAAGCCGCATCAAAAGCACAAGATATCATTGCATTCAGGTAAATGATAAACAGGGCAGGGGCTGACACAGCCTTGCTTCACACCAGAGACAACTGCAAAGTCATCCGAGGTCTCCACTCAACTGCACCCTCGCCCGCAAACCACTGTGCAGACATTTAATCAAACTTACTCGGGCAAAAAATCTTACTCAACTTCAGCCACAGTGCCTCGCGGTTCGTCGTGTCAGATGCGTTGGTGAAGTTGATAAACAAGGAGTACAATGTCCGGTCGCTCTCAGAATTTCTCCAGCAGTTGATGAGCCACGAATACCATAACCATGATGCTGAGGCCCGAACGTAATGCACATTGCTCTCTCGCCACCTTTGGTTCAACGACCTGAATGAAGAGGCGGTTGAGCAGGATTCGGGCAATCACCTTCCCCACACAACTCAGCAAGTTGATACCACGATAATTCGTGGCGCATTGTTTGATTCATTCGTTCTTGTATAATGGTAGCACTAGCGCATCGTTCAAGTCAGCCGACACTTTCTCTCCAAACCACACGCGCTGCACCAAGTGATGCAATTTACCAGCTCCAAGAGAGTGAAGTCAGAGCAGGAGTCGCGTGTTAAACGGATCTGACAAAGTGTCCGGATGCAGTGACATTCAGAGTCCCCGGTACTCTCGACCCAGAGGGACTGCGCAGCGTGTAAGTTAATCTTACGAGCTGAGACGACTTAGTTCAACGCGTAGTTGAGAGAAGTAACGGCGTGACAACATGAAGGTATTGTAAGTACATTGAAAGAATGAATCGAAAATCAACAGTGGTCTAGAGTCTGATCGACCATTATTCGCTAGTCTTCCAAGTCAGTAATTCGCGATACTCGTCCCAGCCTGCTTCATTCGATCCTGTTATCGTTATTAATTGCTCATTATGAGGTGAGATCAACTAACTGAGTTCACTGCACTTTAGTGCTTGAATTACAGCTGACAGTTTGGGTCAAATCGCGACCAGGTTGCTATCGATGTGATGACAATCAACAGTTTGACCAAGTCGAACATACTGAGAAAATGACATCTCTTTTCATCACCTTATTCCAGTGAAGCCATTTTCGTGCTAAGTGAGCACACCTTGTGTTAAGCAAAGGTGTCGCGACGCTTTAGTACCAAGTACACTATTGTTCAGGCGGGATCCCAATGCGTGAACAAGGACAACTCATAAGCATCGAAGCGATTTCGACAAATTCATGTAATAGCACAAATGCGTTCAATGTATTCTGTACATTAGGTTGGCAAAACTGCCACTCAGTGAATAGCCAGATTACATACTGAAAGAGTTCCAAGAAGACAGTCGTGCAAAGTTGGTCATAGGAACCGTTCCATTTATAAGCGACATCCTCCACTTAATCGGAATCACTGCTCTGGCGTAGTTTTCTTTTTGCTGATTTCATTGTTCTGTTACCTGAAAGTAAAGTGTAAACCAGAGACAGTGAAGTACAAAGTTTTTTCCAGCTCCCACTTCCCCACCGTGGCGCAAAGAATACAACTCCGGAAAGCAAGTTAAGGGCGATCACAACAATTCATCATCCACAATTAATGGATATTCCAAATAACTGTCAGTGAAATCACACACAAACTAGCCGGTTGGATATGGCGAACCTTAACACGGATTGGGGACGCCAATCATTCGATTGTAGCTAAGTGAAGAGATAACTGCACATGACTGAATGCATAAGATGAAGTGGACTAGAAAAACCAAACTACACAGTTCGTACCATTAAGGAGCAAGGGAATAGACGCATGGTGTTCGCAGGCAATGTCCAACATCATAACCTTTGTATCTCGCGGTTCTGATCACACTAGTACTCGGCAAATGAAAATCGGAACTGTACACTATCGGGCGCGTCCTCGCGTTACGGAGTAGAAAATGCCTTCCTTGTGGAGGTAACTGGGAATATGTCTCGTGTTTTGCAGGCGAGATGAATAAGCGGTCGCGGACAATCAGCGTCTCAGAATGTGGGGAGTTCTGGGCTTTTCACCTGGTTCTATATCAAATACCACAAGAGCTCGTACGGCGCGATGTCAAAGCCAATGTGACTGGCTATAGGATCACTGACCACTCATTTCTATACCCAGAGGTGAGTACCCATCGGAGGGCAGGTGAATAACCTTGCTGGTCACCGGCTTCCGTGTGGACTGCAACCGAACACAAAGAAGGCGAATGAGCTACCTGTTTGTCAATGGTCTTCGTATTCAGAAACCTGAGTGAATCGTCCTGCTGCCTTGCGGGTCAGGCCGTTAAAGCCAAAGACACGGGGTAGGATCCTTAAGTCAACCCTATCCTCGGCCTCGGCAACCGAGAGGCTCATTGCCGACGCAACACATGAACCCTCATAACCTTTTCGCTATCAGTTTCTTTCCCTCTTTTTTGTCGTTTTTAGTCATGTGTTATGGCACTGTCAGTTATTCATTGGCTGTGTTAAATACATATCTACAAATCTTTCAACATGATCGATACGGTAAGTATCGATCACGCTCCATACACGCACAACTCACTCAGTGGTTCAACCTTTTGTTTCTTTTTGCGATCGGCAAACCAATCGACCCGTTGACGGGTGGATGCGGCCGTTTGCTTTGACGAGGGTCCCTTGCTAATCAGGTCCTCTGCTTTCTGTAGCTGAGCTTGCGCACTCCGGAGCTCCCTTTCTTCCGATTCGCGAACTAATATTTCCTCGACCACCGGATCCAATTTGGCCAATTTTGCACGGAAACGTGCGACGACTTCTAAAACAAGGCAACCCATACGCAACACTATGAGTAGTTGATATGTAGTTCTCCAAACGGTCCAGTCAGCAAATTCCTTCTGATTTTTAAGGAAATAAAATAGCAAATTTGACGCAAAATATATGCTGTTAATCGCTATCCATTATAAAATGAAAGATGACTCGGAGCTATCACAGTATTTCAGAACGCGTTCAGATTTGTATTACGCAGGCTGGACGCTAAACCGTAAGAAAAGTGGATCGCTTCCACCTCTACTCAAAGATGCCAGGAATTTATTGAGAGAAGGCAAGTGACAAGGAAGTAATCACAGTACTGTGGGAAGCGTGTGGACCACATTCGTAAGTAAACCCCGAGGAACAATTGGAATAACTGCCTTTTTTTGGCCCAGCGAAAAGATGCGCGAACAATCTCAATGTGTAACTGGTATCAAACAGTGAACTAGAATGAACGTTTAACGATGAAAAAGTGACACTCTCTGGTTCTTATTGTTCTTACCTCAAGTAATGCAGATGTATCTCATCTGACCAATCTGGATGGCATGTTGTAAAGTAGAAAATAGTCAAGAGTGACGGAAAACCGAAATGACTACGTTAAAGAGATCGATATGTACAGAGGAGGTTACTAACCTGAAGGCACCACTCGAGACTGTACCGGATACGGTGCCTCCTTCATGATCTGCTTCAAAAGTTTGCGATCTCCTTCGCCAACGAGCGAGACCGCGCTGAATGAAAGGCACAATAAGGTGAAAAGTATGGTGAATTGTCGATCGCACAGATAGTAAAAATAGCGCTTATGTGAAATAAATGTTATGTTCATATCAAATGTGGAATTGAACTAACACCAGCGTTGGTAGACATATGCAACTGACTGACGATTCCAGTGGACCCCACATCTAATGAGGCCGCTCGATCAAGTCTGTAAATTGTCGTGAACAACCGTATCGAATGATGCGAAAACAGGTGCCCAAAATGGCCTCTCTTCTAATGGACGCTAGAGTAGTAGAGAAACACAATGATGCCTCAACTCACCGGCCAGAATTAGCGGCACGTGCAGTTCGGCCCACACGATGTACATACTTCTTCATTGTCTGGGGCAGTGTGTAGTTCAGCACCTATCAGGGCAAATAGCACGGATACATGATTGGCACAGTAAGCATGTTAGACGAAACAAAAATACCAGGTAGCAAAGACTTGCCATGCTAGGCAGCTTCTTCGGTCGCCGTCTGCCCTGTTTGCAGACGACCTGAAGAGTTGGAGTGATTAGCACCCCAGACAACTGCAGCCCACTTCAGCAAGACCTCAACCGCCTCTGCATGCGGTCTGCGGAAGTCCGGCCATTCCAAGCAAGTCGGTATTTATGAGCCTGGGGAAGGGTGGTGACGAACAACCACTACATCCCATACCTTCCGTGAAGGACCTAGGTGTTTTCTCGCGTTGCGATTTGAAGTCTGTTGACAGCACGAAAAGGCTATATCGTAACGGACTGCACATGGGTTGGGCGCTCAAACGTAGCTTCTGTATCTGGTCTGAAGAGGTCGCGACTCGTGTCTCCTCTTCCATCATAAAACCGATACTAGAATACACCTCATCTGCCAACTGTCCAATCATCCGAATCGAGGCACAGTAGATCGAACACGTCACAACCAATCTCATCACAAGTTTACAAAAATTATCGTACGAAGACCGGTGCAAGAAACTCGAACTTTACACCTTGTTCTGCAGCCAGCCGATCTCATCATGACCTACCGCATATCACATCTCAGTGCCGTCTCCATGTTGGAGCCGCTGCTTCACTTGCGAACGCCATGCACCACACACGGACACTGGTGCAAGCTTGAAGTGCCGAATATAAAACGAGTATCCCACCTCCTGTGCTTCCAACGGAGAGTGGTAAATGTTTGGAACAGTCTGCAAGAACAAGTCTGCACAGCAGTTCAAAACGTTGTTGGATTTACGTTTCGGCACCTTTCGATTCAGAGAACGATTGTACACTGGCAATGACATCGTGCATTTGTGAACCCATTGAAATTGTAATTCAGGCATTTTAAAATGTCATATAAGAACTTGAATAACGATTAGATTGTCACGGGTTGCAGGCACTTTTTATAACATTTTGATTATATAACGATAAAGTTGTACAGATTTAGATTTCTACTTGATCACACACTGTTTAGTATTCATCATAAGAAGTCCGCAGTGTAGGAATGGAAACAGCAGCTATGGGACGACTAGGACAAGCAGTCAAGTTCCATGTGAAAAATACTACAAACATAAACAGTATGTGGTTGGGCTCCGTCAGAGTGGGATGTGATTGACATACACCCTTCATGCATTGACGAACACAAGTTGTCGCTCTCGGTTGTAACAACGTAGATGCAGCCGAACACAAATAGATGAATGGCAAGAACACTAAAGGGCGAGAGTAAGTGTTTACTGGCACTTACTATTTGAATTTCTCAGGTGTTCGGGGGTGGATGGATGCACCTCGCTTTGTTAGTAAGTGCTCTGGTCCTCCAATGTTCCCTAACTATTCGCCGCTCTAAAATTGCGCGGATTACTTGTTAGAGCGATATCAACAATAGCGGAGAACATTTTAATCGGCTGCTGACCATCCTAAATAGCTAGAAAATTTGGTCACCCATCATGTACAATATCTGAGCAAATAATTGTGAAAGATAAACGAGTAGCTGAAAATTCACCAAGATACATTACAGTTCAACTTCGCACAGACTATACTGGCAAGGCACTATGAGTTAAAGCATGGTGAAGAGCTCCGTGAATGGGGTTCCTCCATCTAGGAAGGCCGAGAGCGCAAAAAAACCGTATGTTGCGTAGATGAGTGTAGGTGAATCAAATCTCAAAGGGTGTGTGATGTACTCTAGATTTCGGGGACAAATAAACTGATCAATGACTTCTCGTGCGAGAGTTGGCCGACGCGAGTAGTTTCAATCATCATGTCATTGACATCAGGAAGGAGCTGCTAGTGGAATGTAACGTTATAAGTGAAAACCAAAAATACTCCGGTGACAACAGCAGATTTACGGATAACGTCAGTGAAGTTGGATTTCTATTTATTTGACTTCTGTGTCATTAATGGCTTGCCCAGTCTACCTATTCGGGTTATTCTGTGTTGTGCTCGGTTTCCATTTTGCGACAACTGTCCATTGATATATATATGGGTGGCAACGTCCGGTTTCGGATTTGCCTGTCATTGTGGCCAGCCACAGGCCGCCTGCACCTACAGTGGGACCACGGATGGCTTGCGCTGCACCACCCACACACCCCATATATAGTGTAAACCCGAAGGAATAAGACCGGGAGGCATGTGGATGGGAGCCACGTTTCATCAACGGAGCCGACCCACACTCCTTCACAGGAAACACAAGCACGCTGTATTTGGGGAATCAACCGCACACAAGGCGGTGGCTGGACCGTAGTCCGCTCCACACTGAGTGCATGGAACCACTCTTCGAGCCTAGCACGACCACAAGGACCGTACACCCCATCCCCTCCAGCAACAACCAACCGTCTTCTGAAGCCAGATGGACGAAGTAGTGGGCAACAGACAGGTAGGCACCTTGTCAACATGCACATCAAACGCAGCCACACCTGGGATGTCAAACAACAGCCAATCATTCGAAATGCCGATATCGAATAAAGTAAACGCATATGACGACATAAATACTCGCTAAATGAGCATATGGAAGAAATTGGTTAAATGTGAATACGCGATAAGTACAAAATGTCCGAAATTCATTTAAAAAATACCACGCGATAAAATTACGCAAGTTTACCACAATTTGCATGAGCAACATGTGTAAGTTGGGAGATTATCAAGTAGGCAGAACAGAAATAAAATAAAATGTAAAGAATTTTATCCACATTAAAAAGACCGTTTAAGTGTAATTTGGTTTAGCCCAACTGCGGTGAAGCATCATGAATGCAATATCAGCCTCAGCATGGGGCATACGCATACGCTTGTACGTGTCCGAGCCATCGTGATTGCCGCAGCGAGACAAGCGCCTCGAGGGAGTGGCTGTCTCCATCCAAGACACGCTGTTTGACTTCAACATTGGTTATGTGGTTCAGTCACCACACACGGGCGATGGACCGCAAGCAACGCTTCTCGAAGACAGCGAGTCAGCTTAGGTCACCGGTACGAGCAGGACAAGTCTCGCAACCGTATAACAGTACGGCGCGGACAGTAGCACTATAAACCCATCCTTTGATGGAGAGACGGATGTCATGGCGGCGCCATAAATGCCTCACCCTGCAGAAGGTGAAACGAGCTCTTGAGATACGCATCGAAATCTCGTTTCCAACAGCCCCATCAGCAGGTATGCAGCATTCCAGGTAGACAAAACTCTGTACAACTTCTAACGTTTTCCCATCGATGGTGAGTTAGGGGCGTATATCAGTCTTGAAAAAGGGTTTTGCACTGGGATGGTGAAACGTTCATGCCATAATTCGACACTTCGCCAGGCGGTTAAGTGCAAGTTGGACGGCCTGCGGACCGTCACCTAACAAGACGGTATCATCAGCGTGATCCAAATCAACCACCGACTACTTGGGAGGAGCTCAACGCCGGCGTTCAACAAGTTTTGTAGAGCATTTTTGAGGACATCCTCAATGGCAAAGTTGAAGAGGTATGGAGAGATGGCGCATCCTTGTAGAACCCCACTGGTGACAAAAAAGGAAGGCGAAAGCTTGCTATAAGCCCTAACTCTACCCGAGGTCAGACTATGCAGAGCACGCAGAATGAAAACGAACTTCCCGGGAATGCCATTCCTCAACAAACAGTGCCACAATGTAGCCGTGTCGACAGAATCAAAGGCAGCACGGATATCCAGGAACACAACAATTGTTGGCTTTTGATACACATAGCGAAGCTCGAGAGTCTGGCGGAGTGTGAAAATCTGATGGATGCAGCCGCGACCAGGGCGTAACCCAGCCTGTTCTTCTCCCTGTAGGGATTCACGCGTTGAGGATAGCGTGCGAAGAATAATGGACACCAGGATCTTGCAGGCAACGGGAACCAAACTTATGCCGCTGTAATGGGAGCAATTCGTGCGCAGGCCCTGTATAAAAATAAGGACGACTATCGACTCACTCCAGGATGATCGAATCTCTTCTTTTGCCCAGACTTCTGAGAACAAAGCGGTGAGTTTTCGAACCAGCGAAGAGCCCCCGTCTTTAAGTAGAGCATGAGCGCCGGGTACCTTATAACGCTTTAGGCAGCAGTTTCTGCCAGATTTTCTGGTGAGACGGAGGATCAGTTGGGATAGTCCACTCATCACCAGTGCGCGCCCCAGGGAGCTAGCGGCCAGGAAAACTGCGAGCGAAAATATTCGGTCCATCGCTCCAACCGTCGTTAAAGATTAGTGATTAGGGAGCCATCATCTTCGCAGATTGTTTCGCTTACTTCTTATCGGAAGCATTTGGTGACTAAGATGAGGTGGAACAGTTTTCTGGTATTACCAGAGAGATTAGCAAGTTCAAACACACTAGCAGGTTCACACCATCAGGTCTCACGGTCCTTCTGTAAGCTCTTATGCAACGCTCGATCCAGGGATCGGCGTTTCTCACTACAGCTGGTGTCGGCTGGGATCAAACAGCGTCTACCAATAAGTGAAAAGGAGGCTGTGGTGATCCAGCTTTTCGGCGGGTGACAAGTAAATCCACAACTGACAGTACTGGCAGAAATTAAAGCGTCCTTGATGCACATCCATTGCGAATTAAGCATCGTCAGAGGATGAATCAAGTAGTGTTGACAGAGAAGCCTGGTACTTGGCTAACGTCGCAGGATGTTGCAGATTTTCGACGTTCGGATGACCCCCGAAACGCATGCAAAATTTTGACGCGAACCAGTGCGTGATCGGAGTCAAGACAAGTTGATCAGTACGATCGGCAGCCTTTTACGCTTCAGCACGAGCTGTAGCTTATTACTATGTGGTCAAGCTGAGACCATTCTTGCGTTTGAGAAGGCGGACGCCAGGTAGCATTCTGTCTTTTCGAATGACGAAAACTTGTACTCGAAAGAAACAAGCGACGATCAGAACAAAGAGTCAGTAGTCTGTCTCCATTGTCTCATCGACTACTACCGAGGCCCAAA